CCCTTAACGTCTTTTGACAGGAAATTCGTTCCTTGATCCACGTGAATTTTTGGCGGCACCCAATGATGATTGATGCAGAGCTTAAGAAATTTATGAGTTTTGTCCGAGCAATTTTTATGGCAGAACATTGCGGATGGCAATCTAGAGAATCTATCCACTGCCACTATCACGTACTTTTTAGATCCTGCAGGTAGCTGATGGGTCCCCAAAATTGTGATTGTACGGCCTTATTGGACTCCTGCGGTTCGGGTGTTGTACACATTGTTTTTCAGTTCTTACCGGCAAGTATACACTCCTGACCGTTTTCTACAATAGACGCTATGTTCCGGTGGATACTTGGATACCAGATATCCTTGGCCGCCGCGAACATGTTACTTTTCCCGTGATGATTTTAATGCGGACGATTGTTAATTACTTTATGAAGAGTAATTGGATTGACTAATTTATCATCCATCCACAAACAATTTTTTTTTAATTTGGAAATCATTAGCAAATTGTGCGTAAAATTGATTCATTGCTTGCTTTTTGATGCGGTATATGGGTTCTTAGACTTAATTAAATAATAAATAGCTTCTAACTGGGGATCTGATACATATTGTGACTCAACAAACCGAAGATTGAATAAATCCGGTAACGCCGTGGCCTTGGAAACTGTTTTACAATTACGACCGACTATCGACATAATTGACATAATTATGTGAGCCGGTTCAACAGCGGGAAATGTTTCAACATGTAATTGTGAAGGAATCGATAGGATTGTGTTTATTTTCGTACTATTTGTCTCCGTAGTAATTGCATTCAGGTTTCCGTCTCCGACTAACTCATCGACTTCATTTTCATCACTACTCGTTATACTAGGATGGCGTTCGAAACTTTTTTGTATTTTCTGAAATGATTTGTTCATAATAATTGAATGTTTTCTAGAAATAATTTCTGTGTGACTGTGTTCACAAGTAGTAATTGCTCCAACTAATCTATTTATATAAATGTTTGACCATCGGCGCAGCTTATCTCGTGACCGTCTGCATATGCAAATATCTGAATTTTGATTGGATGCCTTGTCGTTGCGTGATGGTTCGCCATCTAGCGTCCATGTTCGTTTACGAGTTTTCCACATCGCCTTTTGATTTGCTAATTTCCGGTTCAACATTTCCAAGTTATCATGATTCTTATGTTCAGTTTCCGGACCCTTAGTTGATTTTGTTTTTTATCCTGGGGCGCTTTGATATGATTTAATTTTCGCGACAGTGAACTTACTGTCGTAAGCCGACACAGGTGTCGCTTAATTGTTCGGGTGTCTGGAAAGATAGTCAGCTAAACCGATTTTCGCCCCTGGCGTGTGTTCTACCTCAAAATCAAACGGAATTTATCTATCGAGCCATCTTGTTAACCGACTAAACATTGTTTCGTTCTTCTTTTTATTCCCGTTTAAAAGTGATACTAGCGCGTTAAGATCGGTAACTATTTGAAGTTTCTGTCCTAGGACATTATTTCTACCGCGAGCATTTCTAGTTCATTTGTGTAGTACCGCTTTTCGGCGTCATTCAAATAACGCGATGCGAACGAAATTGGCCTCCACACTTCGGTACTAATTTGCTCTAATACGGCCCCCAATCCATTGTAACTAGCATTGCACACTATTCTAATATCTTTATTCACGTCAAAATGCCGAAGTTCCACGATGTTTGCCAAATGACGCTTTAAATTTTCAAATTCTTCCTGGCTCTCCGCTGTCCTTACTTAATCGTTTTTCTTGCTTAATAAGGGTCTTAATGGGACTGATGACTCTGCTAATGCTGGTAAAAACTTGTGTAGAGTCTGAACTGACCCCATAAATGGTTTTAGCTGAGGTAGTATGCGGGCGGTTTCAATGCCTCAATTGGTTCCGTTTTCTGAATGAGCGGCGTTACTCCGGTCGACGTATTTTTATGTCCTAGCTATTCACAATCTTTCTGGGCGAAATTACATTTTATTAGCTTCAATGACATGTTTTCTTTGTCTAACTTCCTTAGGATTTTCTCCACGGTTGATTTTTGTTTTATTTCGGAACCTTTTGTTACTACTAAGATTTAGTCAATAAACGCATGTCCTGTGGATATTTCGTAAGGATTGACTCCATTACTTGTTCGATTTCCGCCAGCATTGTGGTTGGACCGTAAAACCTGGTTTAAATCTATACGTTCCGGTCGATTTGTCCCCGACGAGTGATAAATTACAATGCAGTCTGGTATCTTGGCTTAGCAGCAGTTGTCCGTACGCATACGTTAGATCCATATTGGAGAAGTTTACTTCGCCCGATTTCTTTACACTTATCGTTTGGCCGACGGCGTCTATTAGATCCTTGATGTTCGGCATTTGATACTTGTTCTTATGCACCTGTTTATTCAATTGTCGTGCCTCGAATGCGAGCTTTACCGAGCCGTCCTTCTTGACCGTAATCACAATCGGAGATACAAAAAACTTATCCGAGCAGTCTTCCAGTTTTTCTATATGCTCTTGTTTGATTAATTTATCAATTTCCCTGTCAATTTTTTTTTGGAGTGTTATAGGCACCCTTCGTCATTTTTGTCAAATCGATTTGCAAGAAATTAGGCTTGTACCTTATAATTACGTTTTTTCCCCACCCGTTTAAAGAGATTAGAAAAGAGCTTACTGAAATAATCCTGCTACTTCTCCAGTTTATCGTCGTCGTCAGAGTCGGCTTCATCCTGGATCGACATCATTTTATGGCCCGGCTTCTTCTGGACTAGTTGCAATCCCAATTCGGCCATCATGTGCCGTCCGATGATGGACGGTACAGTTCCTCCGATGACTTTGATTAATGCGGATGTCACCCAGCCATTAGACACCAGCTCCACTCTCATTGCCCCCAGTAAGTGTATAGGGTTATTTCCGTAGTCGCGAACTTCTTGTTCCTTCGGCTCGACTTCCTGCAATTCTATGCCTGCGGCACCTAAGGTTTACTGTAGTTCTCCAATGGTAAATATTGAGATCGGTGACCCACTGTCGATCCACACGTTCGTTTTCCGCTCGTTGATTTTAATAGGATGTTTTGCCCCCGCAACTTGTAGTTTCGCAAATTTTTTTTGCTCTAACCGCCATTACCATGTAGTCACCCCGAGCTGTCAGAATCCCACGATCGAACACATTTTTCTTGGAGTTTATTGAACCATCCCGCTGAGCTTCCATGTTGCAATTGGTCATCCTTCATTTCTTCCGATTCGAATTGCTCTTGACCGTCCTGCCCTTGAATCATTCCGACCGATGATCTCCCCCGACTGTTTTTCTTGGCCCGACACAATTGCTCAAAATTCCAGAGTTTTCTACAAAAATTGCATGTAACGTTCTTGGCTGCACATTTGTTCATGTGCTCCCTCGTGAACCCGAGTTTATCACAATTATAACCTCTACGGTATCCGGCGCTATTCCTCCTCGGCACGGTCCTCGGCCTTGGGTTCGGCCACGTCCTCTCCCCGGTTGTTCCGGTATCCACCACTGATGACTGCCACCGGCTCCGTCTTGCATTTCATCCCGCCGCCTGTGGTAAGTAAGTTTTGGCATATTTGTCTCCCCTCTCGTAGGAAAGGGCGATACAATACTCTTCTTCCGTGATTTTTGTGGCTCTACACAACTCATTTTGAGCCTCGCCATTCGTCATGTTAACGATGAACGCATCGTGTAACACTCGTGCTTCCAGTGCACCAAAGGAGCAACGCGCCACCAGTCCACTTAGAACCGCACGAAACTGCTCTAACGACTCCCCAATTCGCTGCTCCTTTGACAGTAGCTGAAAGACTTCGTATGTTTCATTGCGTTCCTTCTTGACCTCCCCTTCCATCGCATCGAGCACCCTTGGATAACACGAGGCCCCCAAATCCAGATGTGATTTTTGTTTGTGAATCTAGTCCTGTACTTTCTCCCCCAACAAAGGTATAGATTGGAGATTAGAGTTTGCTCCGCCTCTAGCCGGTTTCCCCATCGACGTTTTCCGGCAACGCAGCTATTTGCGTGGCATCCAGCGTACTAGCCCAGTAAAAGTTACCAGGCAGGGGTTCTGCACATTTGGGTGGCCAAAAGGATGTAATTCCAAGTGGATTTCTCCCCCACTTGGGCCTACTTGCTGCGCCATGTTGACAATACTAATTTGATGCTTGAATTAAATCCTTTCGTATAAATAACTTAACTGTATCATGGATCGCAAAGAAAATTTTTCAGCGGTCATCCGAAGGTGTCAGACACTCCGAAAGCCATATACCTGTCAAAGATGTCTAGCACTAAAAGAACTGAAATGATTGACAAGAGAAACTTGCAAGAACTAAATAACAACTCAGATTACTAATATAGCACTATTACGTTAGGGAAAAATGTTTTCAGCTAATCAGAATCAAGTTTTCAAAAGTCTTAGAAAATCGCAAAAGTTTCAAATTAAGCAAGCAAATCCAGGCCATTAAAATGAAAATTGACCGACTGCTAAATTTGTAAACTGAAGAAGTTTTAAATTTTGGCAAATCGAAAGAGCATCGAAAAAAAACCTAAAACTTACAGACTAACGATATGTAAAAATTGATGAAACAAAAACCAAAAATTTATTTCATTCTCTGCTGATTGTGTATCTGATTTTATGCTAAAATTATTCAGCGAATAGGAACGTCCAACAAATCTGATTAATTTTCCTTCAGTCGGCCCCTCCGTCAAGAGAATAGCCCCTGTGGAGCGATACACTTAAATCAAGCTGAAAACTGCCAAACATTTTGACAACACAGCAATTAAGGCAATAACAAAATTTCTATAACCGAATTGTAAAGATTAGCATTATTTTTCACTTAGTGTCTCATAATTGTTTTTTTTTTGGTATTTATATGTGTGTTTTCTGTTACTTTTTTAAAGAAAAAAGATCGTGATTTTTGAATGACAAGCGGAGTTTCAGCTGTAATTTCCCATCGCCGTTGAATAATTTACAGTTGAAATACAAAAACATCTGCTCTTAGTTAAAAGTTTTTCATTGCTTTGCCAATTTTAAGATACCTAATCTGTTAAATTATAAAACAAAAACTGTTCAAAAGCAAATCCTAATTATATTATTGAGTTTTCTCTGTGTTTGGGAGAACAAAAATGTTCTGATTTCATTCTTTCACTGTCAACAAACTGGGCCATCAAGTCATTTGCAGCTAATACTGATATAATTCAATCAAAAACATCAACGAAATATTGAGGTTAATTCAAAGGAGAAAAAGACGAAATTCTATGGCAAAGCGCCACTCAAAAATTTTTTTTACCATTGCTGCCTTATGTATGAACAGAAATTTTCTTAAGGCCGAAAATTCAAAAGAGAAAGCTCAGAATTGCCTGAAAGGTACTTCTAGTATTTGAGTTCAATGAAAACAGCCCACTTTGAACTTGACGGCTTGAAAATTATTTCCTCCCATATTGAGTGAACCGAATTTAAAGACGCAAAGCGAAGCTTCAAGCTAATTTCACAGGTCATGTAAGTATTTTCTCAGTTTAAACTCTTTCATCTCTACTTTTTGTAAGTTATCTTTAAAAAATATATAAAACGAATAAAATTATTTTTTTGTTTATCTGCTTGTCTAACAGACTGAGTAATCAGATGAATAAATTAAACTAAAATTAACATTGAGTTAAGCTCAATCTCCGCTGCTCGAAAAATAGCAAAGTTCTGCAACTTTGCTGCAAACTTGCACCGTTATCAAAATAACAGAAGCATGATCTTGTAAAAAAAGAGTCAATAGTAGCAGATTCGTGAATTTTAAAATGCGATAAATTTATGTTCCTATTTTCGAAAACAAAAAATAGAAATATATTTCAGAAGTCTATTCCAATTTCGTCTTCTTAAAAAATCTTTTTTGACAACAATTTCCGAGTCATCTGAAAGATGTTGATACCCTGAGCTCAACAATTCACATGTGGAACTTTTGACATATTAATTGACCATAAATTATTTGACACCTCTGAAGTACGATCGGAACATTCAAGGTCTGCAGAGTAAAATAAGACTGCTCGTATCAGGGCGAAGCACTGAATGTTCCAACTGCCTTTTATGGACTATGGAGCAGTAATAACATGAAAAATTAAGCGTATTAAAATGAAATGAAAAAAAAATTGAAATTTGAGATATTTTGTGAAAATACAAAGTGATAGATTTCGCTCCCAGTAAAAAAACCAATACTGTCAAATAAGCTTCATTGAACCAATTGGGAAAAAGTTCTAAGTCGAATTAAATCTCCGCTTAGGCGTTAATAGCGCCAAAAATATCGCGCGTTTATTGTCCCAAATTGGCCCAAAAACACTAAAAAATTAAAAGAAATAAAAGATATAATTTTTTTTTTCAGTTTGAGATTTTTTGTAAAAATCATTCCCCCACACGCCATATAAAGTATAAAGTGATAGATTTTGGTGCTATCAACAAATTGATTATGGCAAACTAGGTTCCCTCAATTAATTTGAAACGATTTTCAAGAAGCATTATATTTCCGCTTACGCGTTAATAGCGCGAAATATAACGCGCGTTTATTGTCCCAAAATGGCCAAAATGTCAATCTTTGAACCTCCAAAACTTTTACAAAAAATGGTCACAAGTGAAATATCTTTGCAAAATTAAGCTACTCTTTGAATTGATTTTTAAATTTTTTTTATCAAAATTGGCTAGTTAAAAAGTCGAAATTTGTCTGAAGAAAAAAAACCATTACTTAGCATAACTATTCCTTTTCTTTCATTACGAAAGTCGGAACCATTCTTTTTGTTACGAAAGCCGGAACAATTACAGTAAATTGATAGCCTCAGCCAAATATGGAACGACTCATTGCCTCTTACCCTTTATTAGGACGAAATCTAGCGCGCGTTAATTATTACATTTTGAATTATAGTAGTCAAAGTCAAATTAGTTCCAAATTCAAACTATTTCAACTTTACAAAAACTGACCCTAGATTAAAATCATTGAAAAGTATGAGTCTTGTGCATCAACAGCTTTCATATTTTTGATAGTTTTCAAAAATTGCTAGTTTAAAAATCGAAATTTGTCTGGAGGAAAAAACCATACCGAGCACCACTTGTGTGTTTTTGAAACGCCCCTAAAATTACACATTAGTTTTTAACTGAAACGTATAAAATTTAATTTTTTGAGCGCAAGACATCAACACGTAACTCAGATTGTTACAAAAACTCTCAGAAAAAAATAGCTAAACGACGAAATTCGCATGCAAACAAAAAAACCACCCCGATCGTAAATGTTCCGTCACTTTCTTGGAAAGTTGGAGCAAAAATCATAGCGCATCAATTTTTGAATTAATTGTTCAACAAAACTGCGAATTGAAATGAAGTGAAACGAATCGAACAAAAAAATGTGTCAAATAAGTTGCTCGACTACTTATCTGCACGTAAAATCAGTTGCAAAAATAAGCTTCAAGTGGGGCCTAGTGGATATCGTATTAAAACTTTCTACGTCTTCATTCGAGCTGCAGTAAAAAATGATCGGAAAAAAATCCCAGTGTTGAGAAAAATATTCGATTTTAAACTTAATTTGGAGTTAATAGTGAATGATGCAATCGAGTCACAAAAAATGGGAAGCTGTTTAATGTCTAGTTTTTAGTCTTTTCTGCTTGGGTTCGGACCAAAACTACCATAAATTACAACTACATAAAATGAACACGATATTTAATTTTACAACAATACGATGAAAATTTTATGAATAGCTTCTTATTTGCCATAGACTTCTGTTCCGACCATTGAAAATGGGGAGGGTTTTTGTGTTTGAGTTTGTTTCAGTTTTTCTCTTTTTTTTCCACTAAAAAAGCTGCCGCAAATAATCATCGGAGAGAGTTGAAAGGTTAAAATTTTAGTTTTTTGAATTGAAAATTTCAAAATTTCAAACAATTCTGCAAAAGAAAATTGAAAAAATTAGTATGGTTTTTCTAATTTTTGTAGGATTTTTTTTGTTTTTCTAGTCATTTTTCTTCAAAAACTGTTGTCCTGTTTTCATATATTACTATGGCTGTCCAATATGCCTAAGTTGTAGTTTTACGTCATTTGTTTTCTGCTGTATTGTTTGAAATACTTTGGTCGAAACACTCTGTAATAATTGCACAGTAATCGGCTATCCTTATACAATTTTGTTTTTTTTTCTGCTTCACTTATCTAAAATAAAAGTTTCCGTCTAGTAGATAATTCAAATTAGCTTTATGTTTGAGAATTCCTGAAATTTCGCTTCATGCATTTTCACTAAAATAAACTCCATTTATTTCGCTTCATGTATTTTCATTTTCAGCACCCTCTTTTGAAATGTTTTGTTTTATCGACCGGGTCTGATCAGGGATAAAACAATTGGCCAGAAACAAGTTTTCTATTCTTGACTTTTTTTTTCTATTTACGACTATTAATTCTAATTGAATGAGTAAGTTACTCAAGACCACTATGTCACTTTTATTAGGCATTAACTACACGTAGTCAAATTGAGTGTGGTCATGAAAAGACCAGTATATGAAATTTGTTGCATGAAGTAAACTAGTTAATCTACAGCGTGCGTTCAATCGGCGCGAAAAAAAATGCTTTAAATGCACGCTCGCAAGTGAGCTGTAGACGTAACTTAAAAACATGTTTTAAAGTGAGAAAACAACTCTTTTTCCTGAAAAAATAACATGACCAAATAAATTTTTCGTTGACTAAAGTTTTTGGCTACTGGCTGCTTTCTGATAAAGAGCCCTTCGAAACTAACTTATGCCTGAAAAAACAGTAGCGAAACTACTACTTACATAATCGTTAAATTTGAACCAATTTTTGAGCTCTAAAAATTAGTTTTTTTTCTTTACAAAACTGTAACTGTATTTAAATTGCTAGAAATTACAGTTTTAGCAATTTAAAAGATTGATCAATTATTCAATTTTAAGTGTTGAGGCTTTTGCATTATTCTTCCCATCATTTGCAAAAGCGGGAGAAACTTTTTATTCAGCTGTGTTTTAGTTTTTGATTTATTTTTGTTATCCACGCAAAAAGATGTACCACAATTAATCTTTGGAATGGGTCGAAAGCTGGATCAAATTGAAGATCGTTCAATCGTTATTTGAAAGATATCAAAAAATGTTCAACGAATTCGAAAAAAGCTGGTTAAAAAAATGTTTCAATTCTTTTCCAGCAACTAAAGCACGCGAAAAGATTTTTAATGAAAAATCAGTCATTAAATTTTAGTAATGTTTTTCTCTTTAATTAGGTAAAAAGGATTTTAAAAAATTTTTAGCGCGTTTTTAGGACTAAAAACTATTACAATTCAAAAAATTTATCCAAAATTTTTGACATTCTGCAATTCGCTTGTTTTACCGAGATTGTCAAATAGACCTAAAGTCTAGGCTTTCATCGGATACTTTTCATGCCCCAAAAATTACTCTATTTTTTTTAAGCAAGAGAAAAACTTGTAAGAAAGATATGCTTTTTTTGAGAATATGGTCGGAAGATTCTGTGCTACTTACACAGAAATCGGTTGCTCTTGCTTTCTTTAGGAAATAGTCTGATAAATGTTTATATTCAAATTTTACCTTTGAGCTTTGTTTTTCGAATTTTTCAGGCTCAATTAATCATAATTCGCTTAATGGAATTGTAACCTATTTCTCCGACTACAAAAGTGCTATAGTCTTGAAAAAAAGTGAATGCATTCTAGTTTCAAGAAGGGTTTTTGAATTAAAACTTTCGCAGCAGAATATGAAAAATTGCCAATTGAAATGCCTTTCTGGGAAACCAAACAACACTTTGAATTTTCAAAAATTTTACGAGGTAGTTTGTGTAATAGAAAATTGAGAAAAAAAACATTCAGAAACTCTTAGTATATCTCCTTGAAATTTTTGAATTTTTTCTTTTAATTGTTGTCTATGTTTTTAATTGGCACTTTCAATCGCCCCAACGACTCCAAGAATTTTTTTTGCAAATTCGATTATCATAAGGAAAAGATCACTTCATGCAGTGTCTTTTCAACTTTTGCCGAACTTTATATTGGGCTGGTTTTAGTTTTTGATTTATTTTTGTTAGCCACCCAAAATCAGGTACTATAATTAATTATTGGAATGGGTCGAAAGATGCATCATATTGAAGATCTTTCAATCGTTATTTGAAAGACATTGAAATCTTTCTCAAAAACTTGTTTCAGTATCAAGGAAAACATTATTAAATCAGATTTTTTGTCTAATTTTGAGCAAGAAGGATTATTTCTTTTTTGAACCAAGAGAAGTTACCACAAATTATCGTCAGAATGGCAAGAAATATATAATAAAATGTAGCCTTTTCATAGCACCTTCAGCACTGATTCGAACGACATCAAAAAATATTCAAAAAAAAATTCCCGTTTCGAAAAAAGCTGGTTAAAAAGGTTTTAATTCATTTTCCAGCAAGTAAAGCCAGCGAGAAGACTTTTATAGGAGAATCGATCCTTAAATTTCAGTTTTTTTTCTCTTAAATTAGAAAAAAAAAGGATTTTTAAACGTTTT